AGTGCTTTAACCCACTGCACCACTTGTTTATAAAGACAAAACAAGATACCAACCAATAATTATTTATTTACACCAGCTCCACTGGCTGCCCGTTTGCTACCAAGCACAATTCAAAGTGCTGGCTTTAGCCTATAAAGCCCTAAACTATTCCGGTCCAGCTTACCTGTCCAAATGTATCTCCCTCTATGAACCATTTTGGAGACCCTTCTCTCAGTCCCACCTCTTTACAGATGCTATTGGTGGGGATGAGAGACAGGACTTTCTCAGTGGTGGCTCCTTGGCTATGGAACTCCCTCCCCAGTGAGATCAGATCAGCCCCTTCTTTCCTGATCTTACTGGGGTGGGGTGGGGGGGACTTAAGACGTGGCTTTGGATCCAAGATTTGACAAGTAATTGGAGCAGTGCAATAAGTGACTAAGAAAAAATGTGATTGACAAATGGAATGCCCTGGATTATGTTTTGGTTGGTATGATTTTAATAATTCTGGTTTTAATTGTTGGTTTTAATTGTAATTGTTTATTTGATATATGTGTGTATGGCATGCCTGTTGTAAGGCCGCCTTGTGTCCCCTCCGGGGTGAGAAAGGGGGGTATAAATATGGATAATAATAATAATAATAATAATAATAATAATAATAATAATTTGGAGTTTGCTCCCTTCATAATGTGTGCATCACGTTATTCGTGAATGTAGACAGTATCCAATTTTGCAAAGAAACACATGAACAAAGATGCATCTACACTGTAGAACAAATGCAGTATTGATGCCACTTTTAATGCTAAGTTATAGTGAGAGTTATAGCTTTACAAGGTCATTAACTCTCTCTGACAAAGAGTGCTGGTGACTCATCAAACTACAAATGCTAGGATTCCATAGTATTGAGCCACGGGAGTTTAAAAAGTTAACAAAAAATACATAATAACTGGGAACAAGTGAAGATTAACCTGTGTCTCGGTTCTCTTCCATATGTTTTGTCTTTACTTGAATCATAGAATCAAAGAATCAAAGAGTTGGAAGAGACCTCATAGGCCATCCAGTCCAACCCCCTGCCAAGAAGCAGGAATATTGCATTCAAATCACCCCTGACAGATGGCCATCCAGCCTCTTTTTCAAAGCTTCCAAAGAAGGAGCCTCCACCACACTCCGGGGCAGAGAGTTCCACTGCTGAACGCTCTCACAGTCAGGAAGTTCTTCCTCATGTTCAGATGGAATCTCCTTTCTTGTACTTTGAAGCCATTGTTCCGCGTCCTAGTCTCCAGGGAAGCAGAAAACAAGCTTGCTCCCTCCTCCCTGTGACTTCCTCTCACATATTTATACATGGCTATCATATCTCCTCTCAGCCTTCTCTTCTTCAGGCTAAACATTATTATTATTATTTATTTACTTTATTTGTATACCGCTGTTCTCAGCCCTTAGGCGACTCACAGCGGTTAACAACAAGAACAGCAGAAATTCAGTGCTACAACAACATGGTATATAAAAACAATTAACATCATAAACACATTAACAGTTAACAACAATAACCATCCACTGACGTCTCATAACTAAGAACATGATCCAGATTCGTCATCCATTGTTCCATTCCTATGTTCATTACACTCATTGCACTGTCTATTCAAACGCCTGTTCAAATAACCAGGTTTTCAACTTTTTCCGGAATACCATTAATGATGGAGCCGATCTAATGTCTGTGGGAAGGGCGTTCCACAGCCGAGGGGCCACCACCGAGAAGGCCCTATCTCTCGTCCCCGCCAGCCTTGCTTGTGAAGCAGGCGGGATCGAGAGCAGGGCCTCCCTGGATGATCTCAAAGCCCTAGTGGGTTTATAGGCAGAGATGCGATCAGATAGGTAAGTTGGGCCGGAACCATTTAGGGCTTTAAAGGCCAACGCCAGCACTTTGAATTGAGCCCGGTAGCAAATTGGCCCAGCTCCTTAAGCCGCTCCTCATAGGGCTTGTTCTAGATGCTGCTAGATTCCTCCTCCTTGATCATTTTGGTCGCCCTCTTCTGGACACATTCCAGCTTGCCAATATCTCTCTTGAATTGTGTGCCCAGAATTGGACACAATATTCCAGGTGTGGTCTAACCTAGGCAGAATAGAGGATAGCATTACTTCCCTAGATCTAGACACTATGCTCCTATTGATGCAGGCCAAAATCCCATTGGCTTTTTTTGCCGCCACATCACATTGTTGGCTCATGTTTAACTTGTTGTCCACAAGGACTCCAAGATCTTTTTCACACGTACTGCTCTTGAGCCAGGCGAAGTACTGTATGATCCCAGTCTCTGCAAGTGATATGTTCCAAGACAAGACCATGGGTAACAGCAAACCCTATTGAATGAACAACTTCCAGTGGAAGTTGAACCATACTGGTAGACCTAGGAAATGCTTAGAAAGAATGTACTTAATCGGACATGGGTAAATGAAATGCAGTCCAATGGGCTGACACACTGATGTCAGTAGGAAGGCTATAGCTTGGCCTCTTTCGTATCATGTTAATTTTATATGTGCAGCAATCATATCTCCTTCTGTGCTTTGTTTATTTCTAGAGAGGAAAAAAAAAGAAGGAATGCGGCACAAAAATAATTTTTATTGGTCCAACAAGTGAGACGAGACATCTAAGCACACCTTTGAGGGCAATTTAGTAGAGATGATGGTTTCTTGGCAACTACATTTATTAATATATAGGTTTCATCACCATTCACCTGTAACAAAAGGACTCTCTTCGGAAAATCCTCCTGCTTCAAGGGAGCTGGCTTCCTGGCAAGCAGAATGTATTGCCTTCATACTTCAAAACTAACTGGCCTGCCGACTTGACGGACTGTAACTCATACAGCTCTGGGAAGGTTAATGGCCAGTGTCCAATCTGCATCATTCTGTATCCCATTATATTCTGATCCCACCCTCAGAATTGTGTAACTGCTTAAACACAGGTGATTTATTATAGTACTCTGTCAGTGCAGCTGAATAAATGGACTGAAATGCAGGAAAGCTCATGCTAAAATAAATCAGTCTCAAAGATGCTGCTACATTCCTCCTCCCCCACCCCTTTCCTCTTTTATGTCCAAACAAATGAACAGGGCTATCTCTTTGAATGCTTCTTCAAGGACACTTTAAAATATGCACCACTGCAGAAGGAATCACAGGAATATGTTTTGCATTTCTTCTGAAGGACATTGGAAAAAATACTATACTCCATGTGTAAACAGTTGCAATCACTTCTATCTCAGAACTGACCCAACTATTTATATGGGTTTGCTCCAGGTTCTCAGGGGAAATTTGGAGTAATCTGTGATTTTGGCTAACCCAGTTCAATACTATTTTATGGTTGTCCGCATTAAGCCGAATCAACTTTGTGTGTTGTTTAGCCACTGCAGAACTAATTCACCTGCAATTTGGGGTAAGTAGTCAGTGTAGGTGTGCTTTATGATGTAACATTAGAAAACGTTGACCATTTCCACTACCTTGGCAGTCACCTTTCCACAAAAGTCGACATTGACATTGGAATACAACACCGCCTGAGCTCTGCAAGTGCAGCATTTTTCCGAATGAAGCAGAGAGTGTTTGAGGATCAGGACACCCGAAGAGAGACCAAGGTGCTTGTTTATAAAGCCATTGTCCTCACAAACCTGTTATACACTTCTGAAACGTGGACTGTCTACAAACATCACACTCAACTCCTGGAACAATTCAATCAGCGTTGCCTCTGAAAAATCCTGCAAATCTCTTGGGAAGGCAGGTGGACAAATGTCAGTGTGCTGGAAGAAGCAAAGACCACCAACACTGATCATACGCCATCAACTCTGCTGTACCAGCCACATTGTCCGAATGCCAGATCTCAGTCTCCCAAAGCAGTTACTCTACTCCCAACTCAAGAACGGAAAATGGAATGTTGGTGACCAGGAAAAGAGATTTAAAGATGGACTTAGAGCTAATCTTAGAAACTGTGGCATAGACACTGAGAACTAAGAAGCCCTGCCCTTGAGTGCTCTAACTGGAGGTCAGCTATGACCAGCAGTGCTGCAGAATTTGAAGAGGCAGGAATGGAGGGCGAAAGGAAGAAACGTGCCTAGAGGAAACCATGTTAAGCCAATACTTGGAAACCAATATCCTCACTGTGGGAGAACATGTGGATCAAGAATAGGGCTCCACAGCCACCTACGGACCCACTGCCATGACACTTCACTTGGAGGACCATCATCCTTGAGCTACGAGGGATCGCCTAAGTAAGAAAGTAATGATGAAATGACTTTCTTATATTCATGCTAGGGAAAATAAAATCTTTGAGAATCTTTGGAAGATATTTACTATTTTTAGAATAATAAACTGAACATCTATAGTGAATAATGAATACTATAGTGTGTTATTCAGAATATATATTTCCCCCAATAAATACTCATACACAGTAAAATGGTGTAACTTATATGTTATATAAAGCCCAATATTTTACTATGTCATTGTATATAATGGGACCTGAACATCTTTTTGGTATCCAAGAGGGGATATCAGTAGATATCACTGTATACATGGGGGACACTGTATACATGGTGTACATGAAAAGAGCCTCCTCGAAGACTGAGTAAATACAGTTGGGCATTCCCTGGGCAATGTTTCTTGTATACGGCTAATTTTTACAACCCAAAAACATTGCTTTTTATGCAATGCTTTTGACACGGAAAAAAAAAGTATACATACATTATATTTGCAGATTTATGCGAACCAGAAACATCCTTTTTAGGATACATCTTCTCTTCACACTAACTCTTTAACTCTGAGAACCTAAGCTGTGAGAGCAGAAGATTAAATTTGCAATCCTCTATAACTTTAGTTGGAAGTAAAGAAACCTTGCCAAGAAAACCCCATTATAGAATTGCCTTAGGGTTGCCATAAGTCAGAAATGACTGGAAGGCGCATAGCAACAACAACAACAACAACAACAACAACATAATGGTTTCTCATCAACCATCAACATCATGGTTTCTTCTGATATTCAGACTCACCTGGCTTTAACTTCTTATCTTTGTAGCTGTAGTAGCATTGCTGAGAGGAGGTCACAATGGGGACAATGGGGACCTGTGCAACAACAAAAAAGTAATTTCATTTAAGAGACATGAAGATATGAAGAAAAGGCTTTTGACTATTCCTTTTCACATCCCATTTCTATGAAGCGGTAGTCTTTGAAAAAAATGTCTGAAACATTCTAGCTGCTTTAAGTCTGCTTCGGGAGCGATAAAGTGAGCTATAATAATAATAATCTCCTGATCTCACAATCGTGTTAAAAAACAAAGTATGGATAATGTATTGTCGAAGGCTTTCATGGCTGGAATCACTAGGTTCTTGTGGGTTTTTTCGGCCTATAGGTTCAAATTCTAATGAAGGTGGTCAGTTGAAACATTCACACCTAGCTCCAGCAGAGAAGAGCTCTTTGCCCCACCCCAGCCATTCCACAGATATATAAACCCATTGTCCTAATTCCAACAGACCTCACTACCTCTGGGATGCTTGCCATAGATGCAGGCGAAACGTCAGGAGAAATGCCTCTAGAACATGGCCCTATAGCCCGAAAAAACCCACAAGAACCTAAGTAAAAATTATTTACAGCATTCATACTGACCACAATTCACAGAGTAACAACTGGAAAAGCTGACACGATATGAGGATTTAAAGATAGAACTGCAAAGACTGCACAAGCCAGTAAAGGTGGTCCCAGTGGTGATCGGCACACTGGGTGCAGTGCCTAAAGACCTTGGCCTGCATTTAAACACAATCGGTGCTGACAAAATTACCATCTGCCAGCTGCAGAAGGCCACCTTACTGGGATCTGCACGCTTTATTCGCCGATACATCACACAGTCCTAGACACTTGGGAAGTGTCCGACGTGTGATCCAATTCAACAGCCAGCAGAGTGTCTGCTGTGGACTCATCTTGTTGTGTTTCTAATAATAATAATAATAATAATAATAATAATAATAATAATAATAATAGACCAGGGTTTTTAATTTGTTAGGAAGCTGCTATATTATGGAACATTTCAGAAGCATTGTCAACCATTATCCTGGCATCTAGTATTTATCCAAAGAGGTTCTGGCATTAAACTTTGTATAGGTGATAACTTGTCCTTAAAACCATATATATCATAATAAATATGTTAACAAGCCTTTCTAAATGATTACACATGTATCTTGCTATTTTTAATTATTTAAACAATTATACCATTTTAGATATTGATTTGTTTGGAACTCCTCTAATAGATATTAAGAGACAACCCAATAGTATTGCCATTTGAGAGACTACGACTCTGGATCCAAATCCTTCCTTAGACATGGAAAGGCACTGGGACCTCTTCTACACTGCCATATAAACCAGATTATCAAGTAGAAAATCCACACTATCTGCTTTGAATTGGATTATCTGAGTCTACACTGCTATATAATCCAGTTCAAAGCAGATCATCTGGATTTTATATGGCCATGTAGAAGGAGCCGGGGTGACATTTGGCAAGATACACTCTCTCAGGCACCATCTGTGCTGCCATATCAAAGATTATCTGCTTTAAATTGGATTTTATCAGTGTAGTCTCATAATCCAGTTGAAACCAGATAATCTGGATTATATGGCAGTGTAGAAGGGGCATCATATTATCCAGTTCAAACCAGATAATCTGGATTATCTGCTTTGCAAATCTGGATTGTGTTGCAGTGTAGATCCAGATTGAAAACTTTTTTAGTTTTAGAATGACTGCTCCTAAAATGTTTCAAGTGCTGCTCCCAAAATGTTAAATCCGTTGACACCATCCCTTTCTCTTCTCAAAAACTGCTTTAAAGTTATAATTATAATTTATAACACAGGAATTTACGGTTATGTTATGGTTATGATTTTATTATTATTGTTTTTATTGCATTGAAATTGTATTTTATGGTCTTGGCATCAATTGTAAACCACCCCGAGTCGCCTGCGGGCTGAGAGGGACAGTATAGAAATATAGTAAATAACTAACTAACTAACTAAATAAATTTACCTGAGTCTTCAGAGCCAGGTGAAAGGCTCCCCGCTTGAAGGGAAGCAAGGTATCCTCTGGATTTCTTGTGCCTTCTGGATAAATCCATACCCTCAGCTGGGCAGGCGTGCAAAAAAAAGAAAAGAAAAAAAAGACAGTATTAGTACAAGTTACAAATTTTGCTTTTTTCTAAAACTGGCTCTACATTGCAGAATTCATGCAGCTTACCATCACTTTAATTGCCATGGTTCAATGCTTTGGAATTTGGGGGTTTGAGTTTGGTGAGACACCAGTACTATTTGGAAGAGAAAGCTAAAGACCTTGTAAAGCTACAACTGCCATGGTCTTATTGCATTGAACAATGCAAGTCAGAGTGGCATCAAACTGCATTAATACACCTTAAGATGGCAGAATGCAATTTGCTACTAATCCCTCTGTGCTCTTTTGTACATCTAGCAAAACACGTGTGCCTTTAAGAGCTGTATGGAAAATAACAACAGGTTTTGTCCAGAACTGTCTCTGTCATCATGCAACCTGCGGGGCTTAATGAATCCAAGGCTGGAGTTTAAATTGCTGGACGAAACATTACCAACCTTAGATATCAGATGATACCATTTTGATGGCTGAAAGCAAGGAGGAGCTGAGCAGCCTTCTAACAAAGGTGAAAAAAGAAAGTGAAAAAGCTGGGTTGCAGTTAAACATCAAAAAACCAAAATTATGGCAAGTGGACTGATTTATAATTGGCAAATAGAGGGAGAAAACATGGAGGCAGTGACAGACTTTGTATTTCTAGGTACAAAGATTTCTGCAGACACAGACTGCAGCCAGGAAATCAGAAGACACTAACTTCTTGGGAGGAGAGCAATGACCAATCTCGATAAAATAGTGAAGAGTAGAGACATCACACTGACAATGAAGATTTGCATAGTTAAAGCAATGGCATTCCCCTTAGTACCCTACGGTTGTGAGAGCTGAACCATAAGGAAGGCTGAGCAAAGGAAGATAGAAACGTTTGAGCTGTGTTGCTGGAGGAAAATTCTGAGAGTGCCTTGGACCACAAGAAGATCAAGCCAGTCCATACTCCAAGAAATAATTCCAGGCTGCTCACTGGAGGGAAGGATATTACAGGCAAAGATGAAGTACATTGGCCACATAATGAGAAATCAGGAAAGCTTGGAGAAGATAATGATGCTGGGGAAAATTGAAGGAAAAGGGAAGAGGGGCCGACCAAGGGCAAGATGGATGGATGTTATCTTTGAAGTGACTGGCTTGACCTTGGAGGAGCTAGGGTGAGGATGGCCAACAGGAAGCTCTGGCATGGGCTGGTCCGTGAGGTCACGAAGAGTCAGAAGTGACTGAATAAATGAACAACAAACATCTCTGTATATGGGGAATGTTTTTGGCACTGACTGAATTTCTGCTTATTGTGTGCAGTCATTTATGGTCCAGTAGACTTGCCAGACATTTTAAAAAAATGTATTAGGATTGACAGTACATACACCCCTCAGTGTTGTTTGTCCCCAGGATTGGCCGCAGCTCCTGAATCAGTTGTTTCTATTGCCAATATCCTTTAGGTTGCTCATATGCTCCTTTGGATTAAACTGCGTGACACCACCACCTCTGTAGTGTGCTTCTTTCTTTTTTCACAAATTAAGCATACCCTCCAACATTTCATAAATGAAAACTGAAACATGTTTGGAAAAGTAATATCAAATGTCCACAGAAAAACACACAAGTTAGGAAACACTTTAGAATTTCTTTTTATTTTGAGCCTTGGTTCTGCATTAGGTTCATTAACAGCACTCAACCTTAGCCAGTGTGGTGTAGTGGTTTGAGCATTGGACTATGACTCAGGTAACAATAATAATAATAATAATAATAATAATAATAATAATAATAATAATTTTATTTATATTCCGCTCTATATCCCCAAAGGAAATCAGGGGTTGAATCCCCACTTAGCCATGAAACCCACTTAAGGTCCCTTCTACATTGCCATATAATCCAGATTATCAGATAATCCACACTATCTGATTTGAACTGGATTATATGAGTCTACACTGCCATATAATCCAGTTCAAAGCAGATCATCTGGATGTTATATGGCAGTGTGGAAAGTGGTTAGGGCTACAAAACAGAGACTGGGTTGTTCCCTATCCTTTTACGATACTCTTATGAAGGTTGAATAAAAAGTAATGCCTCCACCTTCATAACTCCTCAACAGATAGCAGTACTGGTATGCGGCAGGTACTGGCTTGTTCAGTAGACTCTCCTCTACTGTTCCACTTTGGCGGGAAGCCTTAGCATTGAACGGTTGTGTTGTTAAAATGCAAAGTATGGAAACCTGCGCAGATGGTCGGTCAATGCGATTTAAGCAACATGCAGTCACTGAATGCTTGACAGCAGAAGGTGTCACCTGCACATCTTTAAACTTTCTCGCCCAACGACACACAGTATTCGCATCAACACAATCACCAAAAACAGCTTGCATTCTCGAATGAATCTCCTTTGGGGTGACACCTTCTGCTGTCAAGAATTCAATGACTGCACGTTGCTTATGTCGCATTGACCAACTGTCTGTGCAAGGTTCCATACTTCACACTTTAACAACACAACTGTTCAATGCTAAGGCTTCCCACAAAAATGGAACTGTAGGGGAGAGTCTACTGGATAAGCCAGTACCTGCCGCATACCAGTACTGCCATCTGTTGAAGAGTTACGAAGGTGGAGGCATTACTTTTCATTCAACCCTCGTACTTTATAATAGCAGTTTAAGTGTTAAAATCTTTTTGCAATTTGCTTGCATTTCTACCAAAAACTGCAGTTCACCTGCTGAAAGAACTTTTGTTAAAGTTCATTCCTTTTTACAAGTATGCAATCAGAAATAAGCATTACTGAGTTAAATGGAGCTTACCTGCAGCAGCTAATAATGCATAGGATTACAGGCATGCCCTATAAACTCTGTGTGGAATGTGCTCTCAAGTTACCTCCCAACTAATGGCAGCCCTACGAATTTCATAAGGTTTTATTAGGCAAGGAATACTCCGAGGGGTTTTTACCTGTTCCTTCTTTGTAAAATATAGCCTACAGCACCTGGTATTTGTTTGTGGGCACCCATTCAAGTCCTTTTTCTTCTTGGCATGCATGTGAAGGAAATTTTATATTTTCATAAACCTATCAAGCAATAACTTTTATTATTCCTTGTCGGTCTTATTACTCTCATGAATTCCCATAGGATGACTCCCCTTTCACACCCTCTTCCCTCCATATATACAGGACGGAGGGGGTTGGGTGGTACACAGGTCTCTGGGGTGGATAAGGAGAGAGCCTGGGATGGTGGTAGCAGCAATAGAGGAGGAAAGGGGCATTCTTCCCCTTCACATTTCTCCCCTATTGATCCATTTGTCTTATTCAAAGCTCCGCCGAGCTTTTTGTTTTCAAGAGAGGTGAAAGTAGAGATGCTCCTTGACGTGTACAAGATACAATCTAAGGGTACGATCTGGTCTAGTAGTTTGAAGTTACAAGACAGTAGAATTTGACTGAACATTAAGAATAACTTCTTGACAGTAAGAGCAATATGGCAATGGTATCAATTGACCAGAGCAGTCATGGGAGTCTCCTTTTTCTGGACCTTTTCAAAAAGAGCCCAGATAGCTACCTGATGGGGATACTTTAGTTGGACATCCTGCATTGAGCAGGATATTTACCTGCAGCTTGGCTGTGTCTGTTGGATTTTAAACTGGGTTTATATTAGTATGCTGTTTTATGTAAATGTATGCTGTTTTATGTAAATGTATGTTGTTTTGCGCTCCCTGGATTTGAACCTGCCACATGTCGGTCTTCATTCCTGCCGGCACAAGGGTTGAACTCACTGCGCCACCGGGGGCACCATGTTAGGAGGTGAAGACTCAAGATAATTTCAACTGGACAATTATTTACTACATCAGCAGAATATTCCTATAAAAGACTCAATCTAATAATTCTCAAGTGTGGTAGACCACAGGAGACTGGCCGACCCGCTCTGCTCTGCCACGGAAAGGACAGAGATGTTACATTCCTCCTTTTCTCAAGGGAGAAGGAAGGAGTGCGGTTTTGGATTTTGTACATTCAAAATTCTGCTGTATGGAAAACAGATATCTGGCCCTTGACATTGTCTTAGGGAAAGAAGTTTTGGCATTTTGGTGTTATGGAAGCTATGGAACTATGCATTGGCAGATTTGCAAGGAAGCAGTCTTGTCTAAGAGATGTTCTTCACAGAGGAAGGATAGAGAAATGGTGATGTATGCATTATGCTATGTGTGAATGCTGAGTAAAAATATAATTCCCCTTATTAAAAAACTCTAAAATTACAACAGCAAAACAGCAGAGAGGAAACAACCAGGCACATCTTAACGCCTCTCAACAAAAGGTTTTCCCAGGCTCAGCCAAGCCTTCAAATGCTAATGAAGATGGTCAGCTGAAACATTCACACCTAGCTCTAGCAGCGAAGAGTTCTTTGCCCCACCTCAGTCATTCCACAGATATATAAACCCATTGTCCTATTTCCAACAGACCTCACTACCTCTGAGGATGCTTCCCATAGATGCAGGCGAAACGTCAGGAGAAATGCCTCTAGAACATGGCTCTATAGCCCGAAAAAACCCACAAGAACCTAATAATTCCCCTTTGTTAGCCAATGCAACTGTAGGCTGTGAGTCCAATGTAGTTGTATAGAATCTGTATGTCTGTATGTCAAATGTCGTTCTTTGTGTTAATGTGTAAAAGTTCTGATACCTCTTCTCTTACTAGAAAATTTCAGTAAAAAGAACCTATGCTTTAAAGCTATTGAAAAGTTAGTCATAACGTATCTGCCATACCACGACAGCTGGAGGATATGAATACATTCACTCATCTAACTCTATCCTTGCTTCCCCAGGAACTCCCCTCCCATAGCTAGACCCCATTCCCACTTTGTTCACTCCAGGGTTTACTCACATCCTCTTGTCTCATGATCTGCGCAACATGGTCCATGATGTCCATGGCAGCCTTTTTGTTCTTGCGATCAATGAAAATTAAGCCACATACCCAGCAAGCCCAGCCTACTGGGCCCATATATAGCATCTCCTTTTTGGCAATGGTCACACAGCGCTCTGGTATAACTTCCAACATGCCTTAAAACAAGCAAACAAAATGTGTTTTGTTACTAGAGTTGCTCAGCTGACAATTAAGCTAATTAATCATCTTAAAAATATTGCTCCTGACAAGGTTAGGAAATTTGATATTTCATTGCCAACACTGGTGATGGGGAAACATTCTCTACCCAAAAGGCTGTTTCTTGAAGTAACTGCCTCACTTCACCTACTGGAAGGCTAGAACCAATTCCTAAATCTCCCCTCTCAAGTCCTCTTTGTGCCTAGCACTTCTGAACTACTTTGGGATTTGATCAGAGAAAAGTGGAGGAGACAGAAGCCAAACATTGTGTTTCGTATTTCTTAGTGTGCCAGTGCACAGCTAGCATGGTATCTACATTTGAGTGTTGGACTAGGACTCTGGGAGACCAGAGTTTGATTTCTGACTCAGGCTCCTTCCACACTGTCCTATATCCCAGAATATCAAGGCAAAGAATCCCACAATACCTGCTTTGAAGTGGATTTTCTGAGTCCACACTCAGATATTGTGGGATTTTCTGCCTTGATATTTTCGTAATCGGACTGTGTGGAAGGGCCCTGAGTGATGGAATTTATTGGGTGACCTTGGACAAGTCATACTCTTATCATTTTTAGGACAATGAGCAAATGCCTTCTTAATAAATCTTGGGCAGAGGGGGGACCTTAGGATAAGATCCCCAGAAGTTGGAGTTCACTTGAAAGTTCATAACAACAGCATCAGTGTGCCAAATGTTTTTCATTCATCCTTTTGAATTCAAAACAAAAACCATAATTGAATCTGTGGTTACAACAACATTCAGATTTCATGCTAACAAGACAGTACATTTTAATAGTAATGTTTCAAAGTCCAATTTTTGTATCTGAATTTCTTTTTTCCCCTTAGGGAGATCACCACTGTGAGCTAAAGCTGAAAATAGCAGCAGCAGAAATTGAGAATTTGACACACAATTTGAATTATAACATTTATTTTGGTGGAAATGTTCTCCTTTTATAAAACTCAAATTTAATTATTTATTGTGCAGCACTATGCAATTCAGATTTGAAGAACTTGATTTAGCAATATTGTGGCTGGCATCCTGTTTAGTAGTTATGAGATCATAAACAGAGCTTGTGATATCGTAACACCTGAGGATTCACGTTTATTGTTGTTAATGACCAAGCATCACCTTCCAAAGCTAGCTTTTCAGTTTGGCAACATCCTTACTGAAGAGTTTCCAGGATGTATAAATTGGAGATCTGTTAAAAGATTTTGGGGTGCTTTCCTGGTCACAAAGTGCATTGAGCCACAGGGAGGAGGGAGCAAGCTTGTTTTCTGCTTCCTTGGAGACTAGGATGCGGAACAATGGCTTCAAACTACAAGAGAGGAGATTCCATCTGAACATTAGGAAGAACTTCCTGACTGTGAGAGCCGTTCAGCAGTGGAACTCTCTGCCCTGGAGTGTGGTGGAGGCTCCTTCTTTGGAAGCTTTTAAGCAGAGGCTGGATGGCCATTTGTCAGGGGTGATTTGAATGCAATATTCCTGCTTCTTGGCAGGGAGTTGGACTGGATGGCCCATGAGGTCTCTTCCAACTCTTTGATTCTATGATTCTATGATTCTATGATTCTATGACAAGCAGTTATAGGAGGACATCAAGGGGTCTTTCCAACTGCCTTTTCTCTGTGTGACATCTGACTAGGCAACCAATTACAGCCACAATTTCCCAGCACCTCAATATGCATCACTTTCGAAAGTTTTAAATTGGGTTGCTGCCAGGCTGAAAATCTGGAGAATGGCATCATTAGATGTAACTATGATGATGGATCTCCATCATTGTAGTTACATCCGATGTACAATACCTGGGCTATATTTTATTTTTGGAACTACTCCAGCAGGTTGGCTTTAAATTATGAATGGTTGTTTCTGTTCCTTTTAAATTTGTCAACAGTTTTCTACTCTCATCTTCCCACTTCTGAGTCTAAGGGTGGGTAAGAGATTAAATAAGTGCTAATATAATTCAAATATTCTGATTTGTAGGTGCTAAATTTCAGATTTAATAAGCTGGTAACATACCTAGAAGGTCCAAACAGCTCTGATGGTTGGAAACGATCACATAAGGCTCCTTGAGATTCAGATTCTCAAAACCCTGCACCATGAACTTGATGCCATAGATATTTTTGAGTGGCAGGACGCTGAGACGCATAAACCTACAGAGAAAAGAGGTTCAGATTTGTTTGAGTAATGAATGTCAAGTTGTTATATGCATTTCGTTGGCACTTTCGTAACCGTGTTCACCAAAGTTCTACAGACATTTTATGTAATAATTTAAAGACAATAGATAACATGATTTTTGTTCCCGGGTTATACATGTCATTTCCTAATTGGTTCTATCATAAAAACATAGAAAAAGATGTATTAAAATGCAAAAACTTTGTTTTTGAGGAACATCCTGCAGCACATTTTGCTATCATTTTTCAATGAGTATCTTATAGACTCTCAACCAATTCAACATAGTTTGTGGCAGTCACAATAAATGCTTCACTCAACTTACTGGGCAGAGGGGTTGTGGGTTGGCCGTCATTCCATCTGTCATGGTGCCAATGGGAGGGGGGGGGGACAGGCTTCTCCTTCCCAGAAGTCCTCCTGTGAAGTGGGAAAGTTTCCCGCCGGCCAGGCAACCAGCCAATCTGCGGTGGCCCCTTTGGCCCTCCTGAATGGCTGGGGTCAGATGCCCTCTGAGTGATGGGCAGCCTTCTTAAGGCTGCACCGCACCACTAGCGGGCAGCACACCTTCGGATGTCCCATCCCACCTACACTTCATATGAGTTTATTTGTTTTATGGTTTCCATTAAGTTTTGTTCCTTTGTCACTACTTGTAAGTGTGTGGCATGGGCTCTGGATCTAGCTCCCCCCCCCCCAATTGGAGGAGGGAGAGCATCTGACGGTTTACCAGGGGTGTGACGGAAATGGTTTCCCGGTATTGTGGCGGTTGGTAACAGCAGCATCCCCTGGTGTGGTTAAGCAGTATCGGTTAGCAGCGGGCTGCCCAATCCCTGATCCAAGACCCATGCACGGCATCCAACTCTGATTCTTTTCTGTAAGCAATAAACAAGTTGTGGCCTTTTGTTATCCCAATGCTGTGTATGTGTCGTTATTGGGTTTGGTGGAGGGAGGCAGAGTTGCATATGCCAACGCAACTAAGTTTCTGGAGTATAAAAACTACTTTTAAAGTAAGTACTGCACAATTAAACAGGAAATAACACTTTCAAGCCAGGAACAGATTTTTTTTCCAAATTTTGCTACCTAGTGAATATAGTAATAATTACTACTGACAAACAATAAGACATGATTGATACATATTGTTTTTCTGGAGTAGGGCAGCAAAAGGCACACTTCCGACAAGTCAAGGTGCCCAGTGCCAAAGGCAAGTCAAGATATTTTGACTTCTGAAATAAAAAAAAATCCTGTAAATGCTCCGCTGCTGCCTCCCAGTTAAAATGCAACAATAATACTCTTTTAAAACAAAGGTTTTGTCACCAAGGTAACAAACCATTTTTAATGTAGAAGGCTTCTTCTCAGAAATATAAGTAAAGTAGTTATTAATTTTGTCAATTTGCACATACTGTTTTGAACAAACAATAAAAACGTGCATCCTTCTGCTACACCCTTTTAAAAGCAAAAGCGGTGGAAGGGGGACATTAGAAGATAATAGGATTGCACACATAAAATTCTCAAAAGAAAATGCAAAATATATTGATTGGTTGAACTTGAATTATAGAGAATCTCCTGAAAGAAAGAAAAAACTGGAATTAAGGGTGTATAATAAGGTGAGCATTTGTTGAGTCCAATAAATTATTTAGGGAGGTGGAGAAGAATGAAGCTGAAAAGAACTATAAAGCATCTCATAAAAGGGAGAGAATTAGCTTTTATAAGTACATTCAGTAAAAAAATGCAACCAACCATCCTTTAAAAGGCAATTTATAATGCCCAGCATCTCCAACCTACGAAGCTATTTCTACCTAGTAGATGACCATACTGTGGAGTTTATCATACAGATCTTCTATTCTACTACAGTCCAGATATCACTGATACCAAAAACATACTGAATTGAATATGGTCAATATTGGACTTCTCTTCCATTGTGTAATTGTGCCACTGTGAAGTCTCGCAAATATACCTCATAAACCCTGTAAAACCCGTACATATACTCTCGTAAACCTGTATTCCCCCATTACCACTCTTTCATAATTTTTTTAAATTTTTAGAGCAATTTTACAATGCCAGTTTTATAAAAAGGCAAATATAACTACAAAATAACATGAAAAATGGCCAGCTGGGATATAAATTGGGATACCAGAGTCCAAAGAGATAGTCCGCAGGCCAGAGACCACCAACAGCACAGGATAATGAGTCCGGAGGCTGAAGATGCTGCCAGCAACAAGATACCACATTTGAGCATCTAATATGCTAGCTTCTCATGAGTTACTTATTGAGAGCTCATTTCTCTATTAACGTAGAGGACCTGCAAAGTTTAGCCTTCTCCCTTTGCAAGTCCAAATGAGGTGGAGCACTCTGCCTGCTCAAATGAGCTTGCTTGTACTTGCTCTGCAGGCTGAGAAGAAGTAACTTCTTCCATAGGCTCTTCTTCCAAGCTTGGCTGAGGAAGGTGCTGGGCACTCCCAGGCTTCAGCTCATACGCTGGCCTTTCAAACAGCATCTCCTCAGTCATGCTATCAGACCTATCCACGACAACAGTGGATGTGTAGAAGCTAGCCCCCTTTCCTCAAAGGAGCCTTTCGGATTTTGTATTTCGAAGTCACACTTTGCTTTTATATTCAGATGGAAATACTACCGGTCATTGGCTTGTGGTGCACAACGTGTTCTCTGCCTGACCCCTTTGTCATCACCACAAAAACTACAATAGAAAACAATGCAACAGCACAAATCAGTACTTCTTAGTACAGTCTCAGCCCAAGGTTACAATGACATCTGTTATAGAACTCCAGTATGCTGATGACAATATCATCTGTGCACATTCAGAAGAAGATCTACAAGCCACTCTAAACACCTTCGCAGAAGCATACGAGAAGCTCAGCCTGTCATTGAACATCATGAAAACCACAGTGCTCTTCCAACAGTCACCAGCCAATCAATCTCCAATGTTGATCATTTCCACTACCTTGACAGCCACCTCTCCACAAAAGTCAACATTGACACTGAAATACAACACCGCCTGAGCTCTGGGAGTACAGTATTTTTCCGAATGAAGCAGAGAGTGTTTGAGGACCGGGACATCTGTAGGGATACCAAGGTGTTTGTTTATAAAGCTATTGTCCTCCCAACTCTGTTATACGCATGCGAGATGTGGACTGTCGACAGACATCCCATGAAACTCCTGGAACGATTCCATCAGCGCTGCTTCCGGAAAATCCTGCAAATCTCTTGGGAAGACTAGTGGACAAATGTCAGTGTGCTAGAAGAAGCGAAGACCACCAGCATTGAAGTGATGGTCCTCCACTATCAACACTGCTGGACCGGCCACGTTGTCCAGATGCCCAACCACCGTCTCCCAAAGCAGTTGCTCTAGTCTTAACTCAAGAACGGAAAACGGAATGTTGGTGGGCAGGAAAAGGGATTTAAAGATGCGCTCAAAGCCAACCTTAAACACTCTGGAATAGACACTGAGAACTGGGAAGCCCTGGTCCTTGAGAGTTCCAGCTGGAGGTCGGCTGTGACCAGCAGTACTATAGAATTTGAAGAGGCATGAATGGAGGGTGAAAGAGAGAAACATGCCAAGAGGAAGGCGCGTCAAGCCAACCGAAACCGAAACCGCCTGCCACCTGGAAACCAATGCCCTCACTACGGGAGAACATGGAGATGAAGAATAGGGCTTCACAGTCACCTACGGACCCACCAGTACACTGATCTTGGAAGACTATCCTACTCGGACAGTGAGGGATCGCGTAAGTAAGTAAGTAAGTGTCTCAGCCCCCTTTACAATTTAGTGAAGTCACACCTTATGTTGTCATAAAAGGAACTAAAAGTTATAGTTACACCAGAAAAAGGTGAAAAAGTCATTGGTGTTCAAATTATAATTTAGCCATGGAGGAAAGAAATTAAATACTTCCAAGCTTTGGGAAAACAATGATACCACTCCTATCTGTAAACATCTTGCTCACCAAAAGGGAACTACACAAATGATACATGTTATTATGTTCTTAACTGTTCCCTTATGAAATCCTGATTGAGTCATGACTCATGATTAAAAGTCCTTAGGACTTGAAATTCAGGAAGATTAATCCACAGGAAGCTGATACATTCTCTAATGCTCCACAGCAACATTTATATGGATTTGCTGATATACTCTCCAAACCACTGATCATCATTTTGAGAAGCAGTGAAAAGAGCAAACATTGTCCCTCTCTTTTGGAAAAAAAAAAAGCAAAAGGAAAAAAATACAAGAAGCTAGTCAGTCCAACCTTGATATTGGGAAATATATTAAGACAGATAATGTAGTTTGTTTACAAGTATCCAGATGACAATGGAGTGATTAGCATGGATTTATCAAGAACTAATCTTGCCAATCTAATCTTATATCTTTTATTGTTCAGGTCAGGTAACTGTAGATGTTGTTTATCTGGTGCAAGGCAGCCAAAATGCCAGTGACGCAGGCACGCAGCTAGCTCAGGAAATATGGTGTGTGCGCATCCGGGCTCCCGGTGAGAGTGCCAAGCTGCATGTGGGAACTGCAGGCTTAGCTTCCACTTTCAGCGACGGGGCTCCAGGCTCCTCCGCATTGGTTTTGCGGCTTTAGCAAAGTTCTCTGCAGCATTCCCTGGTTTTGTCACAAGACCCCTGGTTGTGCAAATGCTTTAACTGCAAGGGGATCCAGGTATGGTTGCCAGCGATCACTGGATTCTTCATTACTTGGGCACTGAATGGGCGCCGGGGGGGGGGGGGGGGGGGGGGGGGAGAGGGGTGTACCACAGGACATCCAGACTCTAAGAGTACGGAATTGACTCTGGGATTGTGGTATTGGTTCCAGGACACTCATGGCTCACCAAGTCAATCCCGTTGTTTACAATGGCATACTAAAATATATACCCCGGCCCCTTATGACAAAACAGGTGTGCTTTTTAGAATATTTTTTAAAGTGGTGGATGGTGGAATCCATGGATATTGAATCTGTGGATATGGAGGGCTGGAT